CCTCTCGGGATGTGGGCAGGGCGGGTAGTGGCTCACCTTAGTGCCAAAAAAGGCATCAGCTTCTTCACCATTGAAAGCTTTCTTGATGTATCCTATTGGCAAACCCAAGTTTTCATCCATGGCTTCCATGACCTTCTCTCCCAGCTTCTTCAACTCAGCTCGGTATTCTGCCATAGTTTCCCTATTATTCATTAAATTCACAAGTCAGATGATATATTAATCTAAGTTTTAATACTATATTTTTCTTGAGCATTGTCTCAAGTAAGGTAGTTGAAGGTAGTGGCTGCTACTTAAACATGTATCTTACATTTCTACAAGTTGTTCAGATTATGCAATCTGATATTGAAAGGAAGTCCAATACTCCATACAGAATGAAAGATTTCAATTGAACACAAATTTCGGTATAAAAGACAAGTGAAACAAAAAATACAGGAATAGACCCTTGTATGCATAGGCTTTGGGACAACTTAAGTTACGTCAGTGTAATTTTGGGTGTTACGAATTCAATACACACAAGGACGTTACCATCTTGGGGCCTTGGTTGTCAATGGCCCTCTAATGTTTTGAGTCAAAATTATAAGTTCAATTAATACAATTGAGCATAAATTGACCTGAAATGGTGGAATTTAAACATTTTAATGTTGAAATTGTTGATTATCTAGTAAAATTGAGTTAAACTTTAGTTGTTCTCCATTAATTTTGTGATGGAATTAAGCTGAAAGTTTTATTTTTTGACAAATTATTTTGAAACATTTTACATGTATTTTGATGAGGTTTGAATTAATTTTGTCGATTTTAGTAAAAGTAAATAAAATTTAATATATTGTGTGAAATTTAATCATAATAGTTTTACATGATAACATTAATACTAGGATATTAAATCCTCGTATTTAAGCCACAATTTGGCGAAGAGATAAAATCATATTCACATATACAGACTCTCTACATGCAGACTAAGATTATATATGTTTGTTCCTTTAGAGACCTTGCAATGACAGAAATACTATGTTTGCAACCAATGGACCTTCGATCCAATAGTACTCTTTGTCTTATAAAAATTTTATTTTGAAAAAATTTTACCTTTTTAAGATCAAGGGTTCAACCTCCCTTCTCCTCTCCCCCCAAAAAAATGACAGAAATACTATGTCTGCAACCAAGTTGCCTTTTAGAATCATACGAAAGCAACACTATGTTTGCAAAACAATGGAAAGAGAATTTGTTTGAGAAATATGACCTGCCATGGGGCCTGATGACAAAATATGCATACTAGAGGGATTTTTACAAATAACTATTAATGACATAAAAGGATTTATAAGCTGATTTTTATACATGAATCCTGTTAGATTTTTTCTTCATTTTCTCAGCAACCAAGCAAGAGTCTGGGAAAAATTGAAACTACGATAGAAATCTTTGACGAACATGATCAAGAATCATTATTATTTCGACACAAGAAAAGGCATTGTTCACACCCCTTTCTTATGTCGAAAATTAGGTAGATGAACAATCGCTTCTAGATCGAAGTATTTATTTCCTGCATTTATACGTTCTATTTCCCGCTCGTTTATACTGTCAGTCTCCTAGGATTCATTAGAAACTGGGTGATAGCATTAACGTTAATGGTGAATTTTACTTTTCTGTGCTGATGGAAGTGATTAGAACTAGTACTGAATATACTTACTTGAATCCTGGGGTCTTTGATGGCCACTCGTTATCATCAGAGAGAAGGAACACGTCTTCCCAGTCCAAATTCTCCAATTTGTCATCGCTCTTCTTTTCCACCAGTTCATTCAGCAACTTCACTGGCGTCGAGTTCTTGAAACCTTCTTCTCTCTCCANAACCATTTGGCAAGATCAGTAACTAATTCGAGATTTTTGGTTAAAGATTCTTAAGAGAGCTTGAAATCGATTCGATTGTTAACGTTTTGTTTTGTTCAAGTCTTCCCATCATGATCAATGGTAAAACAACCATTTGGCAGGCTTGGTGTGCAGTAATTCAAAAGGTTTTGGTCAAAGACTCTCAAAAGACCTTGCAATCGATTTAATTGTTAGGATTTTATTTTGTTTGAGTCTTCCTATCATAATTAAAGATAGCAGAACTTAGTGTCTAGTAATTCAAGAAATTTTGATCAAAGATTCTTGAGAAACATTGAGATTGATTCAATTATTAGAATTTTATTTTGTTCGAGTCTTCCCATCATGATCAAGGATAAAACGATCATTTGACAGGACTTACTGTCTAGTAACTCAAGAAGTTTTGGTCAAAGATTCTCAACAGAACTTGTGATTGATTTGATGTTCAATTTTATTTGATTTGAGTCTTCACAATATGATGAGAGTTAAAATGACAATTTGGCAAGATTTAATGTGTCTAATAATTCCAAATTTTTGAATTAAAAATTCTTCAGAGACGCTGTGGTTGATTCAATATTCATGGGTTGCAATCGAATATACATGCATAAATCTTAGTTTTATGTTACAACAACGAGTTAAAAATTACATAGTTGAAATGGTTCTAAATTAAAAATCAATAACTAGACATTGTCATATGCTACTCCAATCACGCCACTAAAAAGATTTAATACGATGCTCGCTGAAAATAAATAATCAACAATCATCTCAACCATTCATTAATAGTTTTTGGATTAGTGGCTACAATTTAAAATTGCTAAATATAAGGCCCGCAAATTTTGTGCAAAATCATATTCAAAAAATTGGGAGTGAATCTATATATTCATAATTTCTAGACTCTAACCTTATTTCATCTCTGAGATTCATCAATACACATCTATTGATTAAATGAAGATTCAATCTTAAGATGTCGAAGTAAAACCTAAAACCATTGTTCTGATGTGTGGCATGTCTCTAGTTTCTACCTTAACCTTATAATTCAGTAAAGGGAATGGTTGTGATTAGCTGCACGAAACCGTGTCTTTGTCATGCACCCACTTTCTAGCAGACAAAAACTCGTAATTTTATAATGTATGCTTATTGTTTTACTTGTCATTCAAATCTCTACCGACCTCAACCGTTAATCATGTTGACCTCCGCCAATTGTTTCTGTAGCCCCACCTTTGACTTTTTTCGCACACATGACATGACATGCAAGGTATCAAATGAATTAAAGTAATACACTGATTTTTAGGCATAGTTTTTGGGTTAAGTAAAAGAAGACTTTTATAAACAAAGATATCATCAAACCCTTAATTAATACATGGTCAACTCTATGGTATTAATGTATTTTATTACTTACACTTTTCATCCTCTCATTATGAACCGATTTGCCCTTGGTCCTTCTCTCTCTCTCTCTCTCTCTCTCTCTCTCTCTCTCTTTATATATATATATATTAGTTTCATCCTTCTAATTTTTACTAGATTTAATGGTAAAAATTGGAATAAAATACATCTGTTAGCATTGAAAAAATAACAGTATGTGTCACATGATGAGGAACTTTCGTATAAAAAAAAGCAATGGTATCTTCAATTATAGCTCCTTGAGACAAATGTATGAAGTTTGATTAGGGTTGGCTTCTTCGGTCACATCTCCAACATATATGTTTGCCTTTGTTTTCACTCCGTCTGGTGAGCCTTGCAATCCGAACTAAGGATTGACACTTTTTGGAGTTAGCTCACCCACAGAGATTAACAATCCTTGGTCTCTACTATTGTAGCACATGTCGCCCAACGCTTGTCTTTTTTTCATGAAAGTTGACTGTTTTCATTTATTAGGTTGAATGAATACTATGTTCAAAGTTGAAAGACAAAATTAAGCAAAACAAACAAAATTTGAAAACAAAAGTGGGAATAGGTTCATAATTTGAGGGTGAAAAGTGTAATTAATTTATATATAAGAGATAAATGCTGTAGATATATAATATTGGAAGGGAAGGATCTATGGTAAAACCTGTTTTGTTGTTTGTAAGCTGGCATATCGTCGTCCTTCGATTTGATTCCGTTTTGTTGGAGTATTAAGGTACAATTTCTGAGGTAACAAGTAATATTGACTGTCCGATCAAGAACAACAGGTGAACAAATGGAATTTTAATCATTTCTTGTACTTGCAACTGTAGTACCTCACAATTATCTTTCTTCCGAGTGCATTATTTATTTATTTATTTATTACGATTTAAGAATATTTGAATTTGTTTATATATATTTCAGTTAATCTTCCAAGTGCATTATTAGGAACACTCGAGCACCAAGATGAGCATGGCTGCAGATCATATCAATTTGTTTATTCAACCTTGTGTCGTCCATTTGCCACATTGAATGATTCAGATAAAACATTGTTTAAATGGTGATTTAGGGTTTGAGCCAAATGCTAACTTTGGTTTTTTATATGCAATACATGTGGTTAGTTTATCTGATTAAACTATAAAAAAAAAAATGTACTCAGTTTACCGGTTGTGTAAAGCGAGGTTTAGGAGAGATAGAAATACAATTCGAGTAGATAGGACGTATTGAGAGGTTAATCCGAACTCGATCAAATATGTTATAAAACCTTGAATCAAAATTTTCAACTCTTAAGTACTACATTGCAAGACATGCCTGGCATGAGTCTTTTCGTTAAAGAAGACCGATATTTTGTTCCAAGCTGAAAAAAGACCAAAGAGACATGCTTGGCATGACTACTATTATTTAGAAGAATAACTCCTAAAAAAACAAATGGCTAGCTGTTGTTCAATAGTGAGCTCTAAGGATAATTTGAGCTTGATTTTTTTTATATTAGGAGGTTATCCGATTATAACTTGGATGTCACTAATTCAAATCACAAAAATCGTCTTTCTACATGAGATAAGACGAGATGAGAGAGAGTGAGAGAGAGCAATGGTTGTATGATTGCAAATTCACCACTCATTCAGTATACTCTTTCGCTTCGGCAGGGACTACTATTGACAATGATTTAGTGTAAGTCTGTTGCAATCCCTATTTAGAAAAGCTTGAGCATAAAACCGAGCTTTTTGAGTGTTTGATGAACAATTTGTTTATACTTTTTCCTCCATTTGTCTTTTTGATAGATTACCTATGGTGTATTAATGAAAGGCTCATTCATATACAATTGCTCCCACTTAAATTTATGATATAGTTGGTCTACCAATAAAAAATATGGAAAAAAAATTTATTTTATTGCGTCTCAATCCTTCTATATTGCTAAAGTGAGTAAAAGAAGTAACTTTGTACCATTAAGCAAAAATCACTAGCATGTCATTGTCTGCCGTGATTGGTGCAATTTTTTCTTATACTCCTTCCGGTGAACCATATGTCAGCAATTCACCCAAACGAGAAAATAGATTGCCTGTGAGTGTACTCTTCAAAGTTGGAGATTCTGAGTTTGAGTCTTTTTTTTAAATGATTTTTCACGTAATTAAATTGATAATTGTCCAATTCATGTGAGACGAGATAACTAAATATGTCCACAAAGTGTCCTAGAAGGCGCAAATAACTGGAGGGCACTCTTAGAATTGTTCAAAGATGAAGGTAAGCCATCAAAGAATTGAACTCTATTAATAATGTAAANAACAAATGAGGTCTCTTATAATATTACTAGTTATTGCCTGTATCTGAAAGTACATAGTAATAAAAAATTGTAAACAATAAACATATTTTTATTAATATTCAAAATAAATAAATTTAAGCATCGATTGTAGTAACGGTGAGAGATGATGGGTGACAGTGGTAATAGTTGGAGACGATGATAGTTGTAGTGAGTAGCAATGACCGTGGTAGTGGTAATGGTGGTGGTAGCTGCGGCAGCAACGGTGGCGGTGGTGGTGGTGGTGAGGTGGTGGCGACGGCGGTGGTGATGGTGGTAGAGGTTATAATGGGGCGGTTTCAAACACTATTTTTTTAAAGTACTTGTGAGAAATAATTTCTAAAAGTACTTTTAAAAAATAACTCCAAACAGACCTTAGAAACCTATTTTTTCTATTAAATTTAGAGTGTTAATATTAGCTGTTAGATTAACTTTAAAATATAATTTAAAGCGATCTGAACCGCGAAAAACAAAAATTATTTTGTTTATCTTTTAAAATTTGAATTGTAAACTACTTTATTATATAGATGTTATAACCCGTGATCATTACTTATATATATATTCAAACAACTGCAAACAACTTGTATCGATTCATGAACCATAAGATATCTTTTACGAGACTCAAACTTGAAACTGAAATGTAAAAACCGAAATTTATTCCCCCAAGACACTGTTCCATGATTGGATCAGAGTTGTCTTCGAAGAGCTGAAACTGAGTAATGTTCATGCATGGCAGGGAAATACTGATTCCATTCCTTCCATTTGAAGAAGCCCCTCTCTCTCTCTCTCACACACACACACAAACACATGCTGCTGACAGATAGTGTCGCTCACAATGAATTCATATTTCATCAGGGTAACATAGAATTGGTCCAGATTGCCTGTACATAGATTTTAATTGTGGTCTTTGCATTTGAATTTGATTATTCTTTAGCCAATCTCATCAGAAAGGTCCAGGTTACCTGCACGTAATAAGGTTGGCCAAGTTTCATGGGGAAGTCAATGAATGTGAATGACCTTACTNAGAGGGACAAATAATGTCAACATAGGAATACGACTATCACAGAACAAGAATCGTTATGTCATTGCCCTCGACACTCAAATCTAAAAACCAAAAGAATTACGACCTTAGGCACATATTCAAATTAAGAAAAGAATACTCAGCCTTCAACAGCATTTTCAGATATGACTATTAACAAAAATCAAGTGAAAAGAAGGAAAAAGAAATCCCACCATGCTATATTTCTACCAAAAGGATTGGTCGTGTAAATTCATATCAAATTTGTGAGAGGCCAAACACTATTTTTTTTCTCTTAGTTATTATATCTCTTTTCTTTTTTTTGTAAATTACATTTTTTTTTTACTGTAATTAGATGTTTACTATGGTTATAATATTTAGTGCGGTTAAGATTTTATGATGGTTAAAAGATAAATTTGGTAAAAAATTTATTGTGTTGAAGTTAAAATTTGGTAGGTTTAGTGTGGTTAAAATATTAATTGTAAGATAAGTCATCAAATCTAAATGATGTAGGTCATTAACTTTTTATGAATTAGGAGTTTAGGTGGGATATGCTCTATTTTATTATATAGATTATTAAAAGATTAGACATTAAACTCCGGAAACAAGGCAAACGTCATATGAGGATGGCTTCAACTCTTTTTTGCAAAATTTTGTCCTTTAACAAATGAGGTCTCTTATAATATTACTAGTTATTGCCTGTATCTGAAGGTACATAATAATAAAAAATTGTAAATAATAAATATATTTGTATTAATATTCAAAATAAATAAATTTAAGCATCGATTGTAATAACGGTGAGAGATGATGGGTAACAGTGATAATAGTTGGAGACGATGATAGTTGTAGTGAGTAGCAATGAACGTGGTAGTGGTAATGGTGGTGGTAGCTACGGCAGTAGCGGTGGCGGTGGTGGTGGTGGTGAGGTGGTGGCGACGGCGGTGGTGATGGTGGTAGAGGTTATGATGGGACGGTTTCAAACACTATTTTTTTAAAGTACTTGTGAGAAATAATTTCTAAAAGTACTTTTAAAAAATAACTCCAAACAGACCTTAGAAACCTATTTTTTCTATTAAATTTAGAGTGTTAATATTAGCTGTTAGATTAACTTTAAAATATAATTTAAAGCGATCTGAACCGCGAAAAACAAAAATTATTTTGTTTATCTTTTAAAATTTGAATTGTAAACTACTTTATTATATAGATGTTATAACCCGTGATCATTACTTATATATATATTNAAAGGTGTTGAGAAGTTGGGTTCTTTCTTCTCCTCTAATCACTTATAATTGCAAAAGGAGAAGGAAAAAAAAAGCCATCTTTGTCATCCCAGTTGCCTGGGTTTGTCACCTTACCAAATAAGGTAATAAAGTGGTTGGATGTTAGTTGAGAAAAATCTAGTACCGATTATAACTACCAATCCCCTATTGTTATTTGAACCGCTCACATCACAGGAGTAGTAGAGTAAAGATACCAAGTCGAGGAGCATAGTTGGACTTGGACTTGAATTTGGATTTGAACCATAACTATCCCCCACCCCAGATGTTAGCCAAGAATAAATCAAAGTATTAACCCCAAAAAAACAAGAATAAATCAAAGTAAGTTTATATTTTGATTTAAATGATACTCAAAATAAAAACAAAAACAAAAACAAAAACAATCTTTGTCAATCATTCTAATTGGTGTCTACTACAAGATCTGCGAACCCATTTTTCGTATGAACAAGTTAGTCAAACATTTGCATTCCAAATTTTTTTGCATATAATAATAAAGTCAACTGTCATTTCTCAGTTTTGTGGTAATCTTAAACTTTGTGTTGCTGACATACAAAGATGGGGAATTTGCAGCCTCATCAACGCTGGTTTATTTTACCCTTTTAGTCAGTTACTCTTACAAGCAGCCCCACCGATTAGACGACATCTGAATCACCTCATGTTCAAGCTGGGATAAGTTCCAAGAAACCATTCAGTATGGCTATTATTAGCACATTATTAGCACATGATCTTCTGCACTTGCTACAAACCCTTTTATTTATTCCTCGTAAGCTAATTCACTGTAGTACAATCCTGAAGTAGTCCATAGTTTCTTCTTCATATTATTATCAGGTAAAAAAAGTTTCTGGGGCTATGCCACTCCAATGCAACGAAAAATTCAAGGCATTATGAAGTTGGGAATGGTGCATCAACCCGTTTATTCTGTTTTTTTGAGTTATTTGTTCGGTTTTATGGGTTCTACTAGTCTCACAGGTGTTTGCATGTAAAATAAAACACAAGCGCAAGAAGTCGAGCAAGAAGCATTGATCCTGCAGACCCATTAAAATTACTAAGACTAAACCTTTCGAATGACTATACAATGGTAAGTATTCTTTTTAAGTGGGTTTATTTGTAACTTGTTTACCTTATATTCTGTACAGTAATTCACATGAACCCCAACCATGACGGAATAGGCTCAGATGCTTCAAAGAGCCTTCTGATCTAGTCTTTCATTCCAATTCAGGCAGCGAATCAAGCTGCGGAACCAATCACCTGTCTGGTCGCATTTGTTGACTGTTGGAAGTGGATGCTGGCTCATACATATCCTTACAGAATCTCCTCTCGACAGTTGTTGCCTTCTCTTCCCATCAAACGAGACCCAAGCATTGCTTCGTGCATCATCTGGGATCTATTCAAACACAAATGGTTTTCATAGCTATAAGATCAAAGGATGTTATGGACAATAAGACAATTCATTACTCGCAGATTTTGAATAGACCGGAATGCATAAGGCAATGTTCCAGCATTCTACTTAATCAAAACCACTGACAAAATGTGCGTTCACATGTGTGACAAAAGGGTGTTTTGTAGCTGAGACAAAACTGGAGGCTGAGGTCCTGAAGTTTTGCGCATGATAGTTATCCATTGCTTAGACAGAATATGATAGAATTTGAGGAAAAGTTTAAGCTCAAAACATTGAAATCAAACCACTTATAAAAGAATTTAAGCTCAAATCAAATTCTAGGGCATCTATCTTCATTCTTTTAAAAAGGAAAATAAGAATAAATCTTAACATTTGGATCTTCTGACAGGATTATTTACAGCATCTTGGTTTACACTTTTTCATTTGAAAATAAAGAAGCTTGAACATCAAATCCTAAACAATAGAGCACATCACTACTACATTTTCTTCGGCTTAGAGTTACACATGCAATCAATACCTTAAGTAAAACATTACTTCTGACAGGATACGGAAAATCAAGTGAAGTTTACATAGAACTGTTTCTCTTTTATCCATTTAAATTTTGTGAAACGAGTAAGAATATATGAATAAATGATTGTAAATGAACAAACGGACATATCGAAGACAAAGCAACAACCATGAAGAAAAACCAGAAAAGTTNACCAATCCCCTATTGTTATTTGAACCGCTCACATCACAGGAGTAGTAGAGTAAAGATACCAAGTCGAGGAGCATATTTGGACTTGGACTTGAATTTGGATTGTATCCATAACTATCCCCCACCCCAGATGTTAGCCAAGAATAAATCAAAGTATTAACCCCAAAAAAAACAAGAATAAATCAAAGTAAGTTTATATTTTGATTTAAATGATACTCAAAATAAAAAGAAAAAGAAAAACAATCTTTGTCAATCATTCTAATTGGTGTCTACTACAAGATCTGCAAACCTATTTTTCGTATGAACAAGTTAGTCAAACATTTGCATTCCAAATTGTTTTGCATATAATAATAAAGTCATCTGTCATTTCTCAGTTTTGTGGTAATCTTAAACTTTGTGTTGCTGACATACAAAGATGGGGAATTTGCAGCCTCATCAACGCTGGTTTATTTTACCCTTTTAGTCAGTTACTCTTACAAGCAGCCCCACCGATTAGACGACATCTGAATCACCTCATGTTCAAGCTGGGATAAGTTCCAAGAAACCATTCAGTATAGCTATTATTAGCACATTATTAGCACATGATCTTCTGCACTTGCTACAAACCCTTTTATTTATTCCTCGTAAGCTAATTCACTGTAGTACAATCCTGAAGTAGTCCATAGTTTCTTCTTCATATTATTATCAGGTAAAAAAAGTTTCTGGGGCTATGCCACTCCAATGCAACGAAAAATTCAAGGCATTATGAAGTTGGGAATGGTGCATCAACCCGTTTATCCTGTTTTTTTGAGTTATTTGTTCGGTTTTATGGGTTCTACTAGTCTCACAGGTGTTTGCATGTAAAATAAAACACGAGCAAGAAGTCGAGCAAGAAGCATTGATCCTGCAGACCCATTAAAATTACTAAGACTAAACCTTTCGAATGACTATACAATGGTAAGTATTCTTTTTAAGTGGGTTTATTTGTAACTTGTTTACCTTATATTCTGTACAGTAATTCACATGAACCCCAACCATGACGGAATAGGCTCAGATGCTTCAAAGAGCCTTCTGATCTAGTCTTTCATTCCAATTCAGGCAGCGAATCAAGCTGCGGAACCAATCACCTGTCTGGTCGCATTTGTTGACTGTTGGAAGTGGATGCTGGCTCATACATATCCTTACAGAATCTCCTCTCGACAGTTGTTGCCTTCTCTTCCCATCAAACGAGACCCAAGCATTGCTTCGTGCATCATCTGGGATCTATTCAAACACAAATGGTTTTCATAGCTATAAGATCAAAGGATGTTATGGACAATAAGACAATTCATTACTCGCAGATTTTGAATAGACCGGAATGCATAAGGCAATGTTCCAGCATTCTACTTAATCAAAACCACTGACAAAATGTGCGTTCACATGTGTGACAAAAGGGTGTTTTGTAGCTGAGACAAAACTGGAGGCTGAGGTCCTGAAGTTTTGCGCATGATAGTTATCCATTGCTTAGACAGAATATGATAGAATTTGAGGAAAAGTTTAAGCTCAAAACATTGAAATCAAACCACTTATAAAAGAATTTAAGCTCAAATCAAATTCTAGGGCATCTATCTTCATTCTTTTAAAAAGGAAAATAAGAATAAATCTTAACATTTGGATCTTCTGACAGGATTATTTACAGCATCTTGGTTTACACTTTTTCATTTGAAAATAAAGAAGCTTGAACATCAAATCCTAAACAATAGAGCACATCACTACTACATTTTCTTCGGCTTAGAGTTACACATGCAATCAATACCTTAAGTAAAACATTACTTCTGACAGGATACGGAAAATCAAGTGAAGTTTACATAGAACTGTTTCTCTTTTATCCATTTAAATTTTGTGAAACGAGTAAGAATATATGAATAAATGATTGTAAATGAACAAACGGACATATCGAAGACAAAGCAACAACCATGAAGAAAAACCAGAAAAGTTGTCACCCCAAATATCCTAGAATAGCTTCTCACATACCAAGACACATACAAATCACTAATAAGTAATGAGCAACGAGTTTGACAAACAATAATGAACAGGTTTTGTCTGCCCACAATCATGAACAGACTAGGAATTCGCTATTTATTCAAGAATTTCACTTAAGCAAACCATTCTTGATACCAATAGCCTAGATGAATCCAAACCTGAAAAGCTATTTCCCCTCCTACTTCAGATCATATTCTTGTTGTGAATGCATGAACTTGAAATCATATGATTGAGATGACTATACTATTCTTGAATGCACATTACCTACACGGGAGAGAACTGTTTTTTAGCAGTTAAAATACTCATACAGAATTTATCTACAATGAAATTGAATATCTTTGCTTAGAGACAATCTTTATGGCCCATGTATTCAATATAGTTACATAGTACAGTCAATATAACCCACATTGTCCCAGCTGTATGCTCTGAAAACATCCTTAAAATATGCATCAAAATGTGGATTGCGAACAGCCTATGATACAAATACTGGGTTAATGGACCCTACCCACAAACGCACTTGACACCTACAATCTAATTAATACATGTAACTAGTTTAGCATCACTGGAAAAAATGATCCAGAACAAATCCAGGAGAGAATAGAGAGTTAAAACAACTATCCCCTCCTCCACTGTCAATGCCTAGATTGCAGGTTTTTGCAGTTAATTTCTGTCTTATGAATTTCATATGCTATGCAGAGCAAAGCAACATACAAGATTTGAAAACCTATAATTGCCTCCCAAGAAATAGAAGAATATCATTTAGCACCATGCACTACAAAAAAAATATATCAGGAAACTACGATTATTCCAGCATTCTCCGGTGTAAGATAATTGCACAAAAATCACCTTTAATTCAAGCCTTGCAGAATCGGGCAATATAACTGGTCTGAATGATAGGGAGTGTGGGCATATTGGTGTGAAGAGCATGCAGGGAACATTTGGATGCACCTGCATTCAAAATTAGCATATATCAGAAACATAGTCAAGTGACTCCTATATCAAAGCAATGCAAGTCAACAATTATTGCATGGATAGTATAAGCTTTCACATTTTAGTTTCATGTTGATCATAGTCTGCAGCCAAACAGTGAAATCAACTGATTTAAGTTCATTCAATTCTGCCTCCTTTTTTGGTCATTTCCAAATGGATAAAGAAACGATATAATTCAAGAGAAACGATGGAGTATGAAGTAAACTTACACAGGAAGCATGCAAATACTAAACTGACTTATCAAAAAGCCAAACTACATTTTTTTTGGGATGTTCTCTTCTCTTATATTCTTTTTTTTTTTTTTTTTT